CTATCAAAGAGGGAAGAAGTGTCTTTTTATCACAAATTCATTCGAAAACAATCATCTTTCATCGTTATTTGTAAGTGAAATCCAATTGATATTGCATCTATTCTAAATTCATTTTATCAACTTTTATCTTCGAACGGTGAACAAAGATCTTCCATGAACGATCATATTACTGAGTCATCTACAACAACTAAAACATTTCGTTTTAGTTAAGGTCAACTATTGACACTGACTGACGACCAAATCGAGAAAATTCCTTATTTAACTGCATTGGTCTCTGCTGGACCTAGTTTTGATTCAATTAAACCCAGTAAAGGATATTATTTACTCGATTCTAACATCAATTACAGAGATTTTCTGTTTGTTCTTGAGTCAATTTCATTTCATTCGATACGAAAAATATTTATTCGTCTACCTAAAAATTATAATGTTTTGGCTATTATTGCTCTGTTGGATTTTCTTGCTATTGAATCTGAAAGAGGTCCAACTCTCGAAGAAGTCGATTCGAAAATTTTTTGGAATTTTCAGTTTGGTGATAAACTAGGTCAGTATCAATTTATTTATCGACCATCTGATATTCAAGATATGGCTGTTCGATTTGCCATTGCTATGGCAAAAGAAGAATATGATTTTACAAATCGAAAAGTAATCGATCAAGTATATTGGTTCATTATGTTTATTCTTAGTTGTTATGAACTATTTGAAACAAATCTTCGTTATCATGTACAGAAAATTGCTCAAAATTGTTTTTCTATATTTTGTCCATCCTTATTAGAATGTTTATACCGACTTGAACAGACAACAGAAAAAAAAATACAAGCAACGTCGATCACCACAAGTGATCATATCAGTAATTATAGAAAAATTCTCATTTTCTCGACTTGGAGTGAGCCCGTCAATGACTGTAAATGTCGATATTTTGATCTCGATTATTTATGTACCATACGTCGGTTACAATTGACCTTCAGGTGCTGCGATTGTAGTTATTGGCTACCGTTATGGAGATCGAAAAGAGATTCTTCGTTTTTCAGTGAGTGTCGTGTAAGAAAGTCCTATACAGATAATAATCTCGTGCCACTCTATGAAAAAATATTAGAAAAGATGTATAAATGTTTCCTAAAAACAGTAGTGAAGCAAATATCAATGAAAATAAATGGCCATATATTTGATGAACTTAAATATAAATTGATCTTATACGATATACTTAATAGTAAACCCGTACAAGATGCCATAGATGAAAGCATACTATCAGAAATATGTGAATTTACACCGAAACTAGAACAAAAATATGCTGAGTTAAGGGAACGAATACAATTTTGTGAACAGAATGTTACCACACTCATTGAAGACGAAATGTGGGATAGTTTAATGAACCTACATTTCGGAATAAGAGAATCAACATTGAAAGGTAAACAAAATGAAGCCTTAAAATGTGAATTTACTCTGAACAAGTTGTATCAATACGAATCTATAATTGATGAAACGCGAAACACTATACTAGTCTATTTGCATGATCTATTTATGGATGAAATCAAAATATTCTTTGATAGATGGGAATACATATGGACACTACTCAACAATCTATCACTTTTTCAAGAGAAAAAGAAAAAAGTTTCGGAATTAAAGAAAATGCGTAGAACACGTTCGACTACAAAATATCGACCATTACCGAAAATCCAATGTAAATATACAATACGTTAAATCCAAATACTTGATCGTGATGGCATATGTAATATGAAGCATGTATAGTTATATATAAGACATCAATTTGAAATCGCTTTCTTTTTGAATATTCTGTTCATTTATCTATTTGTTCAACAAAAATTTCCATAAATGAAAATTTCTATTTGAATAAATGCAATAACAAAGCGTAGAAGCGTATCTTTTTCAGATGGAAATAAATAGAGCTGTTTCCTGTTCTGAAAATTCAACGTATATTCAAAAAGAAACATCAAAATAGTCTTCCAGCATCAGAAAGAAACTTTCTCATAGAATAAAACTTGAGGAAAGCGCCTATCAAAGGCATTAAATTTAATCGTCGATAAACAATTCAGATATAGAAGCTTTGTTAGGATAGCGAACGAAAGCTACAAGTCGAATTTCAAGTTGAAAACCACTTTGACTCGACTCAATTCAATTTTGATCATCGAACTTATTCTCTTCTAACACGCGATATCAGTGAGTGAAGAAATTTTTGTGATCACTTTGTGTAAATAACTGTATGACAAATCATTAATAATTGAGACTACAGCAGCGTTCTGTTAGTTAATAAATGATATTTTTCAAACGGCATTTCATTGAAAACATATAAAACTTTTTTGAACTAGGAACAAACAAATAAGATAGTTCAAAACGTGAAAATTTTACTGTGATAATATGGGATACCTCTTGAAATTATTGCGTTTTAATGAAACTTTAAATCAACGAGCCACAAATTGTATCATATGAGTGTTCATCGCAATTCTGGGCTATGCCATTAGAACCTGTTGTGAATTCAACTTTGTTCAATTTAATTTTGTTGTATCCGTCAGACTCATGACGCGTCATTTGACTTCAAAAATATCAAATCTTTGCATCGACCTGAATCGAATAGAATAAAAGAGTTAGCGCTATTCTAAAAATTTTTTATCTATATTGGTCAAGAAAGTATTGCGATGAGGTAAAATTTTGAATTTTTCGTATCAAAACATCTTTTCTGTGGCAAAGAAAATAAAGATTAGATGTTTTTTGGTTGGTACATCACTTTCTTCCAAAACTAGATGAACATGTTTTTGATTTGAAGAAAAATCACAGTGAAAAAAATTTTCATTGATAATTTTAATTTATTCACTATCAATCATTGCAATGTTTATCATTGGTCGATTGAATTTACAAACACTAACAACTTTTTCCTCTGTCAACCACACATGCCACTTTTTTCATCTAGTTTTGCAATTACTCGACTTTATTGACAATGAATAAGTAAGATTTGTCAACCTTTACTGGGGATAGAAAAGAAATACAAAGATTTTCTCAAATGCATTTGTCTAACCTGGGTGTGGGTGTGAGTAACGAAACGATTTAAATCCACACCCACATTCTGGATAAGTTTTTGTATACTTTAGTTATGGGATATATAATGATCATGGATAATACCTATTATAACTCTGTTCTAGCTAAAGCACTTTTGATGCTGATATTACCACTGACCTATATTTTCTATGGACTATCTGCAGACGAATTTTTAGGCATGTAGGTCTTGTTGGAACTAAGATTCGAGCGCGAATACTTTTGGTCAGTGGTGTATCTCATATTTTTCAAGATCAATCAATAATTAAAATCGATGAACAAAAAAAAATTCTAATTTTGATAGAAACCATTAAAATTTATATTACTCTTTATGCTTGTCAAATTGATTGGAAATACACTTGAAAAAATATTTAGATATCATTTTTTTTGAAACGTAGAAATTTATTTTGAGTGCCATTTTATTCTATTTTTCTCACTAATACTATTTAATTAGCATTTACTGAAAAATAAACCAATAAGAATCCTATAATTTTTAGGTGTTTTATAAAATAATCTGAAAAATACTGGAGATAACACTGAATATTGTGAGCTTCCTGGTTCTTTAAAAAAAAATTCAACATATAATACGACTATTTAATAAGTTCTGCACTCTTGTCTGTAAGAATTTGTAATGGTGAAAAAGAAACGAAGTAACGAATAAAACTGTGTAGAAAAAAAAGTTACTATCGAAAGGTTTCGAATATATTAGAAATAATCCGCATAAATAAGAATTTTTTTACATACATATTTTTTTTTTAATCTACCGTACAAGAATATAGTTGTTTAAAAAAGGTTAAAAAAACAAGGTCTGCCACGTTTAAAAAAGCAGATATCAATTAGTACAAGGGTAAGAACAATTGTAAGCGATCGTATACAATATCGCATACGTCAACTCTACATGAATATCTAACGTTTTATAGAGTCGTTGAAGATTGTGTCTTATATATCTGAATGTCTTTTATATTATCCCACACCGTATACATTATGTACATCTCTGTGTCAAAGTCTGGGCATGCAGATAAAGAAATGGATCTATCAAAGAGAATAAGAATGATTGTTTTATACCTTGATTGAAACATATATGTTAAAAATATTTCAACAATTTTTTTTGTCTAATTCAATTATTATCTATAACCTTCCATTTATAAATTAAACAAAAATATTAAAATATTCATAAGAAAGTAATTCAAACTCAGAAGTGAATCAAACCGAACTTAAAATCTAGAAAAACTACTGAATATAAATGGTAAAATGTTAACTTTTATACAAACAATTGCGTGTTAATAGTTAACAAACAAGCCTCCAGGAAAAGAACATTCAAATGAATGTGTATTAAGCATTAAAATGTGACAATGAAGTTGATTTTCATCATTATTGTTTGAATAGAACTAAATCAAACATGAACTCGAAAGGCCCAGCTCATTTCTAACTTTGATAGAAATGATATATATCAACTGAAAGATCAGACGTAGGATATATACTTGATCTAAAGCTTAAAAAACACATTACATGTCATGCTAGCCAGTTCTTTTTGTTTAACAGATATTACATATAAACAATGACTTATTATCACAAAAACTGCTCAACCAAGTTTATGTATAGAATTAAATGGTTAACCTTAATCGAGATCAAACAATTTTTCATTGAATTTTTTATAACTTTGATAGAAAAATCAACTTTTAAATATATTAATTAGAGATTCCTCAAAGTTTTTTTCAAATGCTAAGTGCCAGCGAAAGTTAGAGAACATTGATTTTAGAATTCTAAAAATGAGAAAATCTTTTTCAAAACAACCTATGGGTTTAAATTAATTCATAACTTATCAATAGATGGCCTCTTCGTCTGAGTATATAATAAAATTGAGGTAACAGCTGCTTTAATAAAGGTACTTCACAATGCGTACTCGAACTATGGCGTATACTATTTAGATAAAATTAAACTATTCAGAGGACAAAATGAATGCATACAAGCAACATTTTATTCGCATGGCTATCTATAATCGATGGGCTTTTCAGCAACTCTATGATAAATTAGACAAACATATTTCTAATGAAAATTATTATGCTGATAATGATCTTTACTTTCGATCAATTCATGGTACATTAGTTCATTTATTATTGTCAAGCAAACTTTGGTATTCCCGTTTAACTAGTTCATCATCAAATCCTCTTGAAGATGAAAAATATCCATATGAAATAAATTCTTATTGGTCTCGTTCAGCAAATGAATGGGAACAAGCAATTCAAGATCGTGAAGATGTATATAATCAAATCATAATCGAATGTGATCGATGGATTGATTATGTAAAAGAATTAAATTCCGAAAGTTTAATGGCGGAAGAAAAATTTCAATATATTGATACAGAAGGTAATAAACAAGAGCGTAATCGTGCTGAAGCCTTAGATCATATATTTAATCATAATACTCATCATCGTGGACAAATAACTGCAATTATAACAAAATATGTTGGACAAGATGGCTCACCTGTACTCGATTTATCTGCTATGTCGAATAATTAGTTTTTTTATTTTATTTTATTTCAAATATAAAAAAGTTTGTTTCTGTCTAATAAATTGGTCCAAATTGATTCCAATCATTATTAATTGGATCCCATCCTGAATGAGCTTGTCGTTGATAACCATAGTTAGTAAGATTTCTCATATCCTGATGACTTAATTGAAAATCAAATACTTGAAAATTTTCTCTTAAACGATTGAAATGATTTGTTTTTGGTATTGGAATAAAATTGTTTTGTAATGACCATCGAAGTAAAATTTGTGCTGGTGTACGGCGATATTTTCTTGCAAGTCTGGTTATAAATGGATCTCTTAATGCTGATCCACGTGCTAATGGTGAATAAGCCATTAAAGTAATACCAAATCTATGACAATAATCAACAATAGGACGTTGTTGCATAAATGGATGTAATTCAATTTGATTAACAGCTGGTAATGAACGACCAGATTGTCTTAGAACTTCTAAATGTTCAACACCAAAATTGCTAACACCAACTGAACGAATTTTACCATATGATTGAAGTTCAAGTAATGTATCATATGCTTCAAGAACATGACCACCTTGTGGTGCATGAATTAAATAGAGATCAATATAATTTGTCATTAGTCGATGAAGACTTTGTTCAAATGATTGTAAAACTTTTTGACGTCCACCAGCTGTTGTATAAAGTTTTGTTGTTATAAATAATTGTTGACGTAGTAAACGAGATGTTATTAAACCTTGACCTGTTTCATATTCATTTCCATATAATTCTGCTGTATCAAATAGACGATAACCTTCACGAACTGCTGATTTAACAAGACGAATTGTCGATGGACTTGCATCAGCTTGATAGAGTCCAAGACCAATAACAGGTATTCGATTACCGTCATTAAGATGAATTTGAGGAGCAACATACATTTTTTTATTTATACATTTACACTTCTACTGTATGTGTAACAGGTAAAAAGTATAGTTATATAGGTATATTCGTGCATTTATGTAATCAAAGATTTTGTACGATAAGTATAGTTCATATACGTAACCATCTATACAATATGATGCGTATGCATTAGTTGAAGGTAAAAAAGAACATTTTTCTTTTCTTGATTTTTTATTTAGAATTGTCGATTGAGCCAAATTTATCGAGAAAAGCTATTTTCATTTGCACAAACTGATTATCTAACTTAGACAGAGAATCAATGACTTGAATATTTTTTATGAAAAAATTGTATCATTATGGCATACTAATTATTGTTGTTTTTGTCTCTTACTTACGAAAAACGCTTTGCAAAAGAGTTTTCAAAGTAAGTTTCTATTTAAAAAACAGTTAGGAAGAACGAAAAATAAACTGTCAATGTCATTACTGATGAAATTAAACGACAATCGATCTTAATCTTTCAGACAGTTAGCTTGTTCATTTTTTTTTAAGCAATTCACTTTTTATACTTTAAAATTTATTCAGATGTATTCCGAGACTGTGTTAGTTTTCCAAATATATATATATATATAATGACTTTAAAAGACACAAACGAATTAAGGGAAAATACGGACCCATTATAGGTGCTCATAAAGCCGTACAATAGAAAACTTTTATTGACTAAACAAATTAGAATATATTAGGTTACTTTTGAAAAACATATCAAAAGCTGACAAAATGTTGAATTAAAACAAAGTTTTTCGGAAATTTCACATGTTCATTTCTATCGACATATTAATTCAGCAGGCGATTCTGGTTCTTTCATGCGATAAGTCGAGTTACCCCATATGGAATACATCAATTCTTTTGATTGAAATAATTGTTTAGATAGTAATTCTAGTTGTCTTGTGAGATAAATCCACTCATTTCATCATGACATGTATTAAGTGAGTCAAATACAATGATCTCACTTCTTCACTTTTCCAACAGGAAACTTTGAGTTATGTCATGTGATTATTTTAATTCGTTAGTAAACAAATAGGGTGTGGAGTGTCGATGTAGGTCAATATTAGATGAACCCACATTCACCGCCATTGTATAAAACATTGCAATATTGTTTCTCCAGTAGAATTTTTGCAGATATATATATATTTGTTGAATCCATTCACAATCTCTTTAACACTCACACCCATAATTCACGTTCTACATCTTCGACTCAGGCGAATGATGAATCATTGACTTCTGTCGATACGCATAAGAGAAAGTTGTCAAATACGACCTTTTATTGCTCTCTGCTGACTCCACTTGATCATTAGTAAAAAAGAAAGCTGTGTCAGGTGATCTTGACGTGTTTTGACAATTTGAATAGTGATTTACTTCTGAAAATATTCGATTATTTATTATTCACTGAACTATTTCGAGCCTTTCTTTAACGAAAACAACGTTTGGATAATATCATCCGAAATCATCCAGCATATGTTGACTTATCGAGGGTAAGAAACTACAATATATTTTGTAATGATGCGTTCAATTGTCGACATATAAATTTTATCATGACCTCTGTCTTATAACAAAAGACAATAAACCTGATCAGAATTTTGATTTTGATAAGAGTTTACGAATGATTAAACTACCCATGCAAAAGCTACGGTTACAAGAAAAGGTTAAAAATCGATTATAATAGTGCCATCTTAATCGACTTTTAATTTAATTGTAAGCAGCTTTTGTTTTACATGGGGTGTGATGTGAGATTGAATATGGGTATGGTTGACGATCAAAAACAAAGATACGCACTCACATCCTCGTAATTTATCCACTATGATTATTAAATCTTCGTTAGATTTTTATTTTAAACAATATATTCAAAGAAGATCAAAGTACATGCACACAACAGATTTTTGTCGTTCACCTTTCTATGATGATATCTTTATTTGGGGTGATTTGCATAAGAGAAATAAGGATCACCGTGGTTCGGTTTTTCGTATTAATCATGTAAAACAAGTGTTTAAGAAGCATGAGTCAATTCTCTTGAAATGGATATCGTTTATCGAAAGAAAGTAATTGATAACATAGTCATATATAGAAGAAAGAGTAGGCTTAATACTCTTCCATTAATTGTCTGCTGTTCTGTTTTTTCTTTTTTTCCTCTTTGTGCCTTTGAAAAATTGAATAGCGTACTCCTTCGGATATGGTGAGTGGATATGAAGACGACGGGACGGTGTTGGCAAAGAAAAGACTCACATGCCTACACGCATAAATAATGCCATACGCACGCGCGCATACACATTTTCCTCTAAAGAAATGAACATCTTGGACAAAATCCATTCTGTTGAACTGATTTAAGAAATTTTCCTAAGTGTAAAATTGTTTTTCGCTTGAAACTAAGAGCATTCGATAGGCTTTTATGATCGATGAAGAAGTCTATTTTGGTTTTGAGTCAAATTAAATTGTAAGCTGAAATTTTGTCTGCAGATAGATCATACAATCTCTAGAGAGTAACTAACATTTGAGAAAAATTAAATGGATTGTTACCGAGATATCAGGTTGTTATAGAAGCGTCTTTATTTTGAAAGACAGCCTGAAACAGGCGTTTCTTTAACACACGGCGCAAGGCGACAAGGATGGGACTTTCTCGGCTTGCTAATCACCCTAAAGTATTTTTATAGGCAAAACTTCAACCTGAGACACAATCACTGGATTTTTTTGAAACTGTTGTGCTAACAAGTAAAGAGCTCATGTCTACAAAAGACTTTTTCACTATTCACTAAAACTCAAAAGTTTCAAGCGAAAAGTGACTTTGCACTTGAAGAGTTTCGCTCGTGAGACGTTTGCGATATTTCACTGACTCGAAGACCTGTCTATGAACAACATGCTTTAGATTACATATCTTGAAAATGAGCTACTCATCGATATCTAATCGGATTTCGCAAATTACAGGAAACCAATCCTCATCCTGAGTACATTGAGTATGACAGCTAGTGAGTTTTTTTGGATTTTCGCTACTGTCAACAAGTCTCATTCCGAGGCTAAATATCAGTTGGAACAGCACTGAACACTTGTAAAATGTTTCTTCCTGTGTTCGAAAGGTGATATTCAACTTTGTTATTTGTGAGTTTTTTGTTTAAAATAAATACGCTGGACTATCCATAATTCAGCAATCAGGAACATAAAGAGAAAAATCTCTGCCTCTTTTGGCGAACCGTTACTTTCAAATATATCTCAAGAATTTTTTTGAATTTCATTTGTTGTACATTCCAAAAGTCATTTTAATCTCGAGCGATTCTTCCAACTCAGAATGATTGCAATGAAGGTTATGCAATTCGTAGAGAAGATAATTGAGTAATGATTTTTGTGGAGCGAAAAAGAGTGATAGTGGGTATACAAATAACGCAATCCCTTAATAATGCTCAAATATTTGTTTTTGTTTGTCGATGTGGCGATTGCTGCTGAGAAGAAAAGCATAGATTTGAGTGCAGATTATATTTTTCCGACTTGCCTGTAAAATAGTTTCACTTTTGGTAGCAATTACACTAGGAAAATTATTGACATGCAGTGACAGGAATTATTTCTTTCTTCAATCCTAGGCGTAAGAGAAAACTATCGTTTTCTATTTGTTAACCAATGTTAATTCTGAACAACCTTCAAATTTTTCATTAATCTCTTTATTACTACTTTTACTTGCTTCTTATCTCGAGGTATTCCTCACATTCAAATCTATCTCTCAGATGAGATATTCGGTTTTCGTCGTAGAGACTCATTTCAATTGAATGCTCTGATTTCGCACACGAGTTACAATATTACAAAAGAGAAATTCAATGTTTGTTACTCGAATCATTTTTAGTTTCGTCTTTTCTTTTGATCACATTTTTTAATTCGAAAATCATCCTTACTTCTTGCTTCAATAAAGACATGTGTTTTCTTGAATATTGAGAAGGAGTTCAACGCATCCTAACATGTCTCAAAAGTTTGAAGTTGATGGACATACTGTTATTCTACCTCTACCAAGTATTATACACCGATTGAAATTTCAGACCATCATATTCTTATATCATTATTTCGAAACTATACTGTAACATTATCTATTGTATGAAGATATTAGTATAG